TCTCCTTGGCTTTGACTTTCTCTCTCTCTCTCTCTCTCTCTCTCTCTCTCTCTCTCTCTCTCTCTCTCTCTCTCTCTCTCTCTCTCTCTCGCTCTCCCTCGCTCGCTCGCTCGCCCCCCCTTGTATACAGACACACCCCTTACAGAAAGGGAAAAAAAGCGCATCTGCGCCACATCACAGACACCCCCCCAACTCCAGCACCCCCCACCCCTACCCGAAAACCAAAATTTTATTGCAGATTCGGGGTCCTCTCGCCGAGCGCAGAACGACCCCGGTTTATCGCAGATTCTGGGCAGTTTTTTGGGCCGCCTGGTTTACCCGGGCGGCCCTCCCACGCCCAACCGACCGAGCCCAGTCTGGCCGGGCAGGCCCGGCCGGGCGGCGTCCTCACTCAGGATGTCAGTGCATTTCTGCTTTTTCTGGACAGCTTACGATTATCTGGCTTTCAATGTGATATTGCAATTTGGAATTCCGTCATTTTGCTATTGCTCAATTTCCTTGCAAAAGCACATAGGAGGAGGAGGGGAGGGGGTGGGGGGGGGGAGGGACTTGAGGGGAAGTGCGTGAATTTGACTGGTGAACTTCAATTTTCTCGGAGGACCGGGAGTGAAAGGATTCACGTGTCTTAATGCCCGGTCCGGGTATCGCCAAGTCCCAATTTCCCCCTTCTCTATAGTCCTGTGCATAGTCCGTGCGAGTAGTTTCCAGTTGGTGCCGGACTTAGGCTGTCTAGAAGTCGGTAGACTAGGGTCTGTAAATACCTGTAGATGTCCGTAAAGTTTAGTAGTGTGAGTAGGGTCCGGCCACATTTTGTTTCCCGAACCATCGCAGCTTAGTCCCAGGAAAGTCCTACAGTTGCACGGCAGTCTGAATCATTGCCAGCTGAAGCCAAGGCAACGGAAACCTACATCACAAGTCCAATTTTGGGCTGCTGCAAGTAAAAACGTAAAGTCACAGCTTGGGTCGACACTTTTTGCCCTCTTGCGCTGCTGTCACGGAAGCGCTGCTGCGTTATTGTGCGACCTGGTCACGGCTGTGAGGGAAGCACGGGAGGGTAGTGATAGTCAGCGCCGCCTGATGCCTTAGCTGAGAGAGAGAGAGAGAGAGAGAGAGAGAGAGAGAGAGAGAGAGAGAGAGAGAGAGAGAGAGAGAGAGAGAGAGAGAGAGAGAGAGAGAGGACAGGAGGGTGAAGCAGTGAACAGAGCCCTGAATTTTGAGGGTTTTTCAATGGTCCTTGTGACAAAACTCCCACACTTTTGCAATTATTGTCAACTGTGTTCGTGTTGAGTGAATCTTGCCTGTTTCTTGGTATGATGCACGCGTGCTGAGTGAAGCCAAGCGGCCGTGAAAAAAAAAAAAAGATCATAACAGGAACAAATCATGCATATTATATACATCTATCAATCTCTATATTTTCTATTTTTTCACACTCAATATCTTTGACCGGTGATTTTGTTGCCGATGCCAGAACAGAAAAGGGCGGAGAGTGCTCACTACGGGTTCACCAGCTGAGATAGTCGGCTTGCCCCCCCTGGGTAATGTTGGGGGGAGTGTTGCCCTCCCAACCATAGCCGGGGGTTAGGAAGAAAGCTGCAGTGATTAGACACACGGGAGGAGGTCGGTGGCAACCCACAACTGCAATGATTGATCAAACCGGACTTACGTAAGAGGTTAGGTAGTCTGAGGTATATGAGTGAAGAGTATACCTTTTTTTTTTTTTTTTTTTAATAATTTGGAGAATTTTGGACCATTTCTCGATTAATGCGTGTCATTCTTGTGCAGGGGCCATGCTAATCTTCTCTGTTTCGTTCCATTTTTTTTTTAACGGATGTCCCGAAGGACAGTGAAGAATATAGATTAGTTCTAGGCTACCAGAGTGGCCCGGGTCCACTTGCCCGACCGGGCCAAATAGAAATAAAAAATAAAAAAATAAAAATTATTTAAAATATATATATATATTTTAAATCCGGTAAAGAATTTCGATGTGACCCTGAGGCAAAAGTTGTTCAGTTTATTTTTCTGCATAACATAGTTTTTTTTCGGATTTTTTGGAGTTTTTTTTTTTTTTTTTTTTTTTTTGCCTGGGACCTTCCCTAGTCGTTGCACGGCCGGGCCGCCCGGGAAAATAGGGTGACCCGGGCGGCCCGGCTGGTAGCCTAGGATTAGTTAAAAAAAAAATTAAAAAAAATTGAAAGGAATAGAAAAGGGCGGCGAGTTTCCACTCTCGTGTGAGGAGGTAAAATACTAAAACAAACTTTATAAAGAAGCAAAAAAAAAAAAAACGAAGAGAAGGAGGCAAAAGGGGCGTGGTGAGGAAGAGTCCGATGTTCACTAATGCGCTCTCTCATTTCCACTCACCTTTCCTGGTTGCTTCTTCGCCATAGCCAATAGCTGAGCATTAGACGCAGCGAACTCGGCCATTTCGTCAATAGCTGTGTTGACTTTCTGCAGCGTAAGCCTCCCTCTCATGTAGCTTACAAAAAAAAAACAAAAAAAAACAAACAAAAATTCACAAATAAAAACGAGCCAGGTTAGAGAACAGCAACAACAGTCACAAGGACTCTGTTCCTCTAAAAGCAGCGTTTGGCTTTGCTCTGTTTTTGCTGAGACTGAGCGCTTTCGGCTTCCTCTATGCATTTGAAATCAAGCCGCTGCGCTAAGTCTTGAGTCAGTTGCCATCTGTCTGACCACCGTCTTCGTCTGAATAGAACGCCCGGTAATGATCGCCGTATCTGGACTGAGAATTGGCCAAAATGCAGCTATAATGACTGGGCGTTCTATTCGGGGGAAGATGGCAGCACTGTGGGCCTGTTGTCGTGTTGTGCCTCAGGAGGGACAGAACTGTGAATAGTTCTTTTTTTTTTGATTCTGTTATGATCCTGGCCAGTTTCGTTCGAAGTATACAAACATCAGAAAGTACAATGCCGTCCAATTGCAAAAAGAAATGAATGAACTTGAGAGGAGAGAGAGGAAAAGAAGAAGAAGAAGAAGAGGAAGAAAGAAAGAAGAAGAAGATGATGTACTCCAGCATAGGCCAATGACAAGGCTCTTCTTCTTCGGCAACCAATCTCCTCCTCCTTATCTCCTCCCCTCTTATTCAAACAAGAAACAACAATAATAATGTTGAATGGCTGAACCAGAATCTATGTCCGAATCCCACTTCCACTGCAGGCACAACATGAGGTCCACCATAGCCATGGCCACCCTTCCTCTTCCTCTACATACAGGCCGAGGCTATGGCGGACTACTGAGGCTTCAGCCTCCTGTCCAAAGGACAACCCAAAGCAGCTATGTCGCTGCCCCACTTCAAACAGCTATGCCGCTGCTCACTGAACCGCCATGCCTGACTCTACCCCGAGCTTCCTTGGTGCAGCACTACCCCAACGGGGGTCTTCCAGATGCAGCACCTCACAAGGTGATGAAGATGGTGTTCACCATAGCCAAGTAGGTACCTCGCCACTCTCCCCCTTGGTCCCCTTCTTCCTCCTCCTCCTACCAGTAGAGCTCCACCATAGCCACGGTAGAAGCTCCCGGCTTCTTCCTCCCAGCAGCGCTGTAGCAGCCAGCGCTCTTCCAACCAGCGCTCCAACAGCGTGATGCCCAACTCGCACACTGAAGAATGAGGCCGAGCTCTTGCCTCGGCCTCTTGATATAGCGGCCTGCTTGCCTCTTGGGCGGTGACTTCCAGGCCGCTCGGCCTCCCAAGCAACCGGTACCTCCTCCCTTTCGGAGGGAAACATCATTGCAGACTCTGATATTGCCCGTACAGGCTCTAGACTCAGACTGTATGGACTGGTACCGGCCTAGACCTAACCTACCGCTACTGGGCCTCTAAAAATGCCAACTTTGTCTTCTTCTGCTCGGCCTCGAGTACCCGGCACATCTACTGCTACTGGTGCGGTACCGGCCTACCTGCTACTTGAGTGTTTTTCCGCTGCTCCAGGTGCCGCGAGCCCCTGCCTCCGCTACTTGAGTGTTTTCCCCTGCTGCAACCCTCCATGCCACGGCCACAGGTAAGTACCGGCCCTACGGGCCTGCCAAACAAGCAAGTACCCTTGCGGGTCACACACACACTCATGCCGACAAGCACTCAGACAGGCACGCAAGTCAACAGGCACTCACACATACAGACTTAGAAAACACAGCAGAATGAGGGAATCTCAGCAAGGCATCCATTCCATAGGCAGAACTTCAGAAATCAGCAGTGTTCTTAGTCTGTGTTATGGCACGTCGATCGTGTAAGAAGGGCCAAAGGAATCATTTCCTACCCGGTTCAACACCTTCCACGGACCATAGTACTGAGGAAGAAGCTTTCGTGATACGCCTTCCTCTTCAGAAAATTCAGACATCTTGACCCAGACATAACTTCCCACTGTGAAAGGGTCAGGCTGGCGCTTTTTGTTTGCATGCTTAATCATAGCACTGCGTCGCCTCTCCATAGCTGCGACAGCAACTTTGAGCAAACGATCAAACTTAGCGCTGTAGCCGGGGTGGCCAGGTGTCACCCCAGGTGGCTGTTCAGGAAACAGATAAGATAAGGGATTGCGAATCTTCCACCCAAGGTGCAGCCGGTTAGGTGTCATCCCGGTGGAAGAGTGTATGGAGTTGTTGTACAAACCGTGCACAATTGGCAGTTCCTCATCCCAAGAGTTCTGATCAGGCACAATTAGAGCTCGGAGAAGTTGGATCACAGTCCGGTTGATCTCCTCGGCCAGTCCATTGGCTTTGGGATGTCGGCCATACATCATCTTGAGTTTCATGTCATAGGTCTGGGAGGTGAAGTCCTTCCAATCTGCACTTATGAACCGAGTGTCCCGTTCACTCACAAGAGTTTTCGGGGCCCCATACTGCAGAATGTACTTTTTATGAAACTCTTTGATTACAAGATCAGTTGGGGCATGAGGTGGTAATGGGATCAAATTCAGAAACTTCGAGAAGCGGTCAACGATCACCATTACTTGCGAATATCCATTCTTACTCTTCTTTCCCATGTCCGTGAAGTCGATGGAAAGAGACTCACCCGGGCCATTAGGAATAGGAAGAGGGTGTAGCAGCCCGTAGGGCTTCTGTGGAGATGGTTTGATGCGTTGACAGACTTCACACTCAACCACAAACTTTTGTGTAATTCCTTTCATTCCAGGCCATACAAACTTTTGCAGCAGACTTCCGTATGTCATTCAAAACCAAAGTGTCCACTCCGGCCATGAGCCAAGTCCAAGAAGTGAGTAAGGATCGACTCATGGTTGGGTACACAAAGTCGGTCGTGCTTCCCGTAACGTCGAAAAAGTAAGCCCTTACATCCATGGAAATCAGGCTGACTGCTAGGGTCAGCCTGAATCTGCTCAAGGATGGGACTGAGTTCCGAGTCCTTGGCAGTGTGCTGAATGAGTTCCTTTTTCAAATTCTTACGGAGATCATAGGAACCCACAAGGCAAGTCATGTACTCAGGATGGCGAGACAAAGCATCCGCAACGCGATTGTAACAGCCTTTCTTGTGCTTAAGTTCAAAATCATACACATCAATCTCATGCAGAGAGCGGGTCAATGTGGTTGATGGATTAATCTGTGTCTGAATCCATTTCAAAGTCTCATGATCTGAGAACACTTTGAAATGACGACCCAAGAGGTAGTGTTTCCAATGATCCGGTGCCTCTCTCAAGACGTAGAGTTCTCGCATGTAAGTGGAGGCAGCTACCTTGTGACTGGGCATGCGTTTGCTGTAATATTCAAGCGGACGTGCCATCGCCATCATCTTGCTGCAACAGTGCACTAATGGCGTACAAGCTTGCATCCGTAGTTACTACGAATGTAAGTTTGGGATCTGCAATGCGGAGCACCGGATGACTCACCAAAGCCTCCTTCAATGCTTGGAAGGTTGTTGTGCATTCCCCATCCCATGTGTAAGACACATTCTTACTTGTCAATTTGGACAGCGAACGGGCGATGATAGAGAATTTGGGTACAAACTTACGGTAGTACGACACAAGACCAAGAAAAGAACGCAACTCACGGACATTGGCCAGTTGAGGCCAGTTGCGGATGACCTCAACTTTGGTTGCCTCGGGCTCTAGGCCTGCAGCAGACAACCGATGTCCACCGTAGATGACGCTGTCCCTCCCAAACTCAGATTTCTCCAAGTTGAGATGGTGTTGCGCATCCTTGAGGATCTGCAGCACTTCCTCAAGGTGTCTCATGTGCTCCTCCATCGACTCGCTGAAGATTAGTATGTCGTCCAAATAAACAACAACAAATCGATTGATCTAATTGCGGAACACCTTGTCCATGAGACTTTGGAAGGTGGCTGGTGCATTAGTGAGGCCGAAGGGCATGACGGTAAACTCGTACAGTCCATCGCGAGTTTTGAATGCAGTTTTATCCTGGTCTGCAGGATCGACTTCAATCTGGTGGTAGCCAGACTTGAGATCGATCTTGCTGAAGACCTTGCACCCACCTGCAGCATCAAGCAGATCATCAATACGCGGCAAAGGATATGCATTTTTTCTTGTTATTCTATTCAGTCCGCGGTAGTCAATACACATCCGTAGTTTGCCTCCTTTCTTAGGGACAAACAGAACCGGTGCACCGAATTCGGATTCGCTTGGCTTGATCCATCCCTTCCCAATCATGTCATCAATCTGTCTATGCAGCTCTTCCAATTCGCCTGAGCCCATTCGATAGACACAACCTTTTGGAGAAGTGTTACCTTCTATCAACTCGATCTTGTGTCGGACCGGACGCACGGGACTCCATGCGGTTCGGCCAAGACTTCAGGAAATCGGTTGAGAAGGTTGCGAACTTCTGATGGGATCTCTAGAGGTGGATCATCACATTCAGGTGCAAGCATCCCGGATTGCATCGGTGCAGCCATAATATACATTTGCTCATCAACTTTGAAGTAGTTGCATTAGAGGTAGAAACGGCATGCAAAATAGAATCATTATGTACAGCAAAAATAGAAGGCACATGAGCAGGCCTAACAAAGGCTATATACATTTGCTCATCAACTTTGTGCCTGCGCCACTTTTTTGCAGAATTGCATTGCATTGAGAAAAGTTACTTGGGACTCGTGCGGCTCGTCCAAGAGGACTGGACGCTCCATTCCCATGGCATCTTTGACCATGAACTGTGAGTCATTCCACATGGTTCTTTCACATTGGGCTTGCAACCAGCCCAAGCCAATAACCGCGTCGAAGGGGCACTGATCAAGGACATAGAAGTTCAATTCATGCGTGATTGTGCGGTCTGCGTCAAAGGTAGTGCGCACACCTTTGACTGCATGTGTAAAGGTGACAACCTCTTGGTTGCCCACTTGGGTCCGACAAGGATTCTGCAAGGTCACTTGCTTCATTCCCAAGCGTGCCTTACGAATGCCGTGCGGTGAGAAGTAGTTGGCGGTTGCACCACAATCAGCCAACGCACGGATGTAACGGCCATTAATGTAGAGTTTGAAGAAGATCAACTTCGTTCTCCCTT